GGCGGAGAATAGATGGGGGCGGGGCCAATTAGAGGTGGTATTTGCCGGTTCTCTGAACTACTCAAAATTTCCGCTACCGGTTCCCCAGAACTGGTCAGAACCTGCTGAATACCCCCTCTAGACAGCTCATAAGCAATGTTTTTGCAGGCTGTTCTAACTTCAAATGATAGTTAAACCAACAGTCATAACCCGAGGACTCTCTGTATTTATTTTATTTTTTTGCTTTAAATATAGTTTGTTTTTAAAGGGAAGCTATCAGCTGGTCACCATTTGTGACTTTTTTTCCAATTGGAGAAATCAGATTTGCCTAACGACATGGTAATTTGCTTAACGATGGTGTTAAAAATCATTGTCAAATTGGGTCTGACCCCATGAGGACTTGCATTGCTTAGCGACTGAAATCCCAGTCCCAACTGTACGCACAAATCAAGGATTACCAGTAAAGAGCAGGCACTGGCCACCTCCGATTTGGGTTATCTGAGGATTATTTCAGAAAAGATTCCTGTTATCTAACAGTAAAAACACAACATTTGAAACAGAAGGAAGCTTTCCAATGTCTTACATAACTCAAAAATATTGAAGCTAGTACAGACTACAAAGGCTGCAAAGCACAGGAAGTCGACTACAAAAAGTCTACTGCTCTCTAGGCAGCCATCAAAACAGATCTGCCACAAATGGCAGAGAGATGGAAAGGGAGATAAAACAAAACAACAAAATAAATATTTCCCATCAGGAATGGCAGAACTACTTCCCTGATTGCAGTTGGTTCATTGTGTAGCTGCCAGTCAGGAGGACAAAATGGCACAACCCTAATTTAATTAAAATACACTACACCCCCACCACAAGAAAAACTGAAGCCAGCATCTAAATTCAACCTAGAAATAAGGAGGGATTTTCTGACAGTGAGAACAATCAACGCATGGACAGAGAAGTTGCCTTCGGAAGTTGTGGGAGCTTCATCCCTGGAGGCTTTCAAGAAGAGACTGGACTGCCCTCTGTCAGAAATGGTGTAGCGTCTCCTGCTTGGGTAGGGGGGGGGATTGGACTAGATGACCTACAAAGGTCCCTTCCAATTCTGTGAATCTGTTAAATTGCTCAGGTTGTAAACTGTGGATGGCCAATTTCTATGCAGGTAATCCTTGACTTATAACCACAGTTACGACTAGAATTTCCAATACTAAGCTAGGCAGTTGTTAACTAAGTTGCCCTCGATTTTACAATATAATACAATATAATATACAATATAAATTTTCTTAAATAAATAAATACATATGATGGGAACTAGGAAGTGTGCCTTTTCTGTGGCAGCCTCTGTCCTATGGAACATTCTGAGCCCTGAAGTTCAGATGGCCTCTATCCTCCTAGCCTGTAGGAAGACAGGCAGAGGGTGGCGTCAAGAGAGGACTCAGTCTGGAGCTCTGAACATTACCACAAAGAGTATAAATCCAACCTTTTTTGGATTCCGTTAACTCTTATCTAGCACCAATTTAGTTCCGATCATTACTTTATTAGAGCAGTGGTGCCAAACTCAAGGCCTGGTCCATGGGATGCTTGGATTTTGCCTGCAGAGCCAGCCTGGAAATAGCAAAGGATTGGCCCATAGTGCCTTTGCTAGCAAAACTGGAGCTCGGGGGGGGGGGCATGGCTCCCCCCAATCACCATTTTCGCTGGCAAAGGGCTATCAAAACAAACTAAAAACAAAAGAAAAGGAGAAATGTTTCCCCCTTTGCATTTGAGCAATGCAGGAAAGGACAGGAAAGGAGAAAGGGAAAGAGGAAAGAAAAAGAAGGGAAGATGGGAAGAGAGCAAGAAAAGAAAAAGAAGGAATGGGGGGAAGGAAGAAGAAAGGAGAAGGAAAAGGGAAGGAAAAAGAAGAAAAGGCAGGCAGGCGGGCAGGCAGGCGATTATGAGAGTAAGGGAAGGTCTCAGTGCCTTAGCACTTGGCCACCACAGGTGCCCCCAACACGAGTCTTGTGTCACACCCACCATGGCCATGACCCCGGCCACCCCCCCCAAAATGGCCCTCTGTGGTCAAACACAACCCTGATGTGGCCCTCAATGAAATGAAGTTTGACACCCCTGTGTTAGAGTCTTGTGTATAGGCTTAGCTGGAACATAATGTTTAGTCCTGACTCTTTTAGCCAGACATGGGGCTTCTGTAAAGCTTTGAAGACCACCATGAATTGCTCAATTGGGCAACAGGGTTGCCTCAGGGGTGGAATTCAAATTTCTTAACAACCGGATCTGTGGGCATGGCCTAATTTGTGGGTGTGGCTTGGTGGTCATGTGACTGGCTGGGTGTGGCTTGTATGTAAATATTGTAAATATATATGTAAAGTTTGAATTTTTTATTCAAACTTCAAAGTTTGAATTTTTATACTCAAAATCAGGCAAAGCAGGCAGGCAGATTGAACTGCTTGCAGAATCACATATGTACATAATTAAATAAGCTCTTCTCATTAAAGCATCCCTCGCAGATGGACCTGGGAAGAGTGTGTGACAGTGATGGATGAGACCAGTCAGTGCCACCTTGACATGCTCTGGAGCTGGGCAGGTAGATAAGAAGGCAACGTTATGAAATGTTTCTCAAATTCCGGCATACCCTATGCAGTATCATCTTCTTGAATTACAATTTGAAAAAGAAAAAAGAAAACTTGACAGGCTTGTCTAAGGTAAATAATTAATTTATCAAATTATTTATTGACTTCAAATAGCTCCGTTTCCCCCCCCCCCATTTCTCTCTTAATTTGTTTCATTATTGTTAGTTCTGATACATTAGTTATTTTTATAGCTGCACTGTCTCCCTGACCACAGACTGAAAGATGGAGTATATTTTCTGAGCTAAGAAATAAAGACAAATTCAATTTACTTTGTACTGTGCTGGGAAGAGTTGGAAGCCACTGTCTTTTCTTTTCTTTCTTTTTCTCTTCCCCCCTTGTATTTCATACCCCCTTTTTGCCGTCCCCTTTCCCGCCCTCAATTTCCTATTTTCTTTACTTTCTTTTTTGTATTTTATATTTGATATAATAAGATTTCACATGCCTGAAGAATTCTGCATCTATTCTATTAAGTAAGTCTGTTTTGTTCACAGTTTCCCAAAAAGGCAGGAGATCCAGCAATGGTTTCTTAGAGCCCTAATAGTCCATAGTCTGAATCTTTTTCAGGACATCCTGAGGTTTAGCACAATAGTCTACAAGGGAATATTCAACACAGACAAACATATATTTATAACCTGCTGTCTACTATTTTGATCCCATCGCTATAGATCTGTTTTGTCATTAGTGGCTATAAATAGTTACCAGCAAACTTTCCTAAGTTTTAAATGACCTCTTCCGGTTATCTCCAAGGGCAGTAATCTGGTTGCTTGTAAGGAACCATAAAAAGACCCAACTATCTCCATTAAATATCTAGAGAGACTGATGTGCATTATCAAGACATTTGTTAGTGATGTAACAGGCAATCTGAGTCATCCTTTAGGGGCAAAGTTCAAATTTTATTTATGAAGAACAAAGAGCTGGCTTGGCCAGAAGGTAAACAATTTTTTTTTCCCAACTAGCTCCTTCTATTTTGGACCATAGCATCCACAGGGAAAAGTGGGAGAGGATCAATCATGGAGTAGGGCACAGGGTTGAACTATGGATGGAGAGAACCAGATCGATCACTTCCTAAACTGGTCTTGGGGAAATCCCAGCCTAACTCAGCCTAACTCGCTCACGGGATGGTTAAGTATTGCATACAAAATTATACGTAGTAATATTTTACCTGTAAATGACTTAATTGCAGTAATATGCATGCGAACCACTGCTTTTAAACTCAATGTAAATCGTTCTAAACCTGACCGTAAAAAATACGATTTCTGTAACAGAGTTGTCAAAATTTGGAATGCCCTACCTGATTCAGTTGTCTCAGCTACCAATTTTCACGGTTTCAGTCACAAATTGACTTCCGTGAACCTTACTTCATACTTAAGGGGTCAGTAGAGCATAAGGGCGCTTAACGTGCGTATCGTCCCTGTCACTGTATTTTTATTCTCTTATTCTTGTTCTCATTTTTGTTTGACAAATTCCAAAAATAAATAAATAAATAAATAATGGTTGATAGGGATAAAAAAAAACTTAACTCCTTGCTAGTTAAACAGTTTGAAGACTGCTATTTACCAAACACCCAGATTATTCTATCTGGAAACTTTGCAGTCAAGCAAACTTATTTAGCATTGTTATACTTTTCGATGTCTTTTCCCATTCCTAAATGTCTTGCTAACCTACTGGACTGCAGAAATCTGGATGGCCACTAGCTCAAAGGAAAGAGGTGCAGGAAAGCCAACTCTTTGCTTCCTTGGTCATCTGAGTCTTAAGAGGATAAGAGAACCCAAAGACGAATATTCTCTAATTTAGGGTCCCATTATGGAAGTTTGTATTTTGTGGGAGTCAATGGAGAAGCACTTTTAATATATTGGTTTGTTTGGATCAGTTTTGAATCTATCATCATATGCAGGTAGTCCTCGGCTTACAACAGTTCATTTAGTGACCGTTTGAAGTCACAATGTCCATTTTTCACATTTATAACGATTGCAGCATCCCCATAGTCACGTGATCAAAATCCAGACACAAGACAACTGACTCATAGTTACTGACTTTAGTCCTTCATATCTACAATGATTGCAGTGTCCCAGGATCATGTTTTGTAACCTTCTAACAAGCCAGGTCAATGGGGAAGTCAGATTTATCTAACAACTCTGTTAACTAACTTAAAAACTGCACTGATTCTCTTAACAACTACAAGCGAGAAAGGTTGCAAAGTGAAGAAAAACTCACTTAACAAATGTTTCACTTAGTAACCAAAGTTTGGGGCTTAATGGTGGTCGTAAGTTTTGAGGAGTACCTGTACTTTGTAGAATGAGACTATAAAAAGAGATCAGGTACCTTAACCCAAATGTGGGCCATCTTTTAGCTGAGCTTAATGACAAGGCCAAGAGAATGAAAAGCATAGTGTATACTCACAGCGTATGGTTCATCTTAGTTTTCCGTTTGTCAGCACTTTTGTCTCCGGTTGCCATCTCTTCTTCGTCTCTTCAAGAATCTGAAAATAGAAGAAGACGTACAGATGACACGAAAGCCTACTAAACTCTACCTGTTTAGCCTTTGGAAGGTGCTATTTCTTTCCCTGCACCGCTGATGATTCCCTCAATTTCGCCAGTGAGATGGAAGACTCAAAAAAAAACCATTTGGATCATTTCCTGCCCGTCTCAGCTTGTGCCTTTCCCCAGTATTTGAGAGAAGTAAACAAATAAAGCGAACAACAAACTGTGTGTGGTATGCTCATAAATGAGACACACCAGCATGAGAGATGATGATAGAGCCAGCCAAGGACATGCTGAGCTTCCAAATACGGATTTCTGCCCAATGCTTAATTTGCATGAATAAATCCTAGCTTTACTTTTCCAAAATACTAACTTCTCAGCAGTTCTGCATCCAGTGAACGGTGGATGAAAAAGCCTATTATTAAAACAAATTGGTAATTGGGGCGCACACACACAGAGAGAAGTCACTCAAGACTCTTTATAGAAAGGCTTGTAGTTGCTGCAAAACAGCTGAGCTCGACTCAACGGTTACTTCATGGAAACATCCTGCGCAGTCTTCTTGAAAGCAAGTCAGAAGTGGTTTACTGTTACCGTATCTTCTTTCAGGGTGTATTTTTTTAACCTATCCTACAGTTCCGGTGTCTACTCGTCCAAGGCCCAACCTTCCTTAGCTTCTAAACTCAAATACGGCTCAAACAAAAGTTCTGTGATCTACACAAGGGTGTGTGCTGCTGGGGGTTCACAGGGGTTCGGGACGGCTAAGATGCTGTGCAGTTCAAAAAAAAAACACCTCCAAATCCCACTCCTGGCTGGCCCCACCCACCCCACCCCACCCCTCCCAGGAGTCCCCACATGGCCCGTTTTGGATGCAAGTAAGCGCAGGGCGCACACAGAGGCTCAGGGAGGATGAAAAATGGGCCTCTCAGAAGTTCAGGAAGGCTGGAAATGGGCCCATTTCCCGCTTCCAAACAGCCTCCGGAGCCCAGGGAGGCCGTTTTTTCCCCTCTTGGAGGTTCGAGGAAAGCCTCTGGAGCCCAGGAAGGGCAAAAACACTCCCCCTTGCGGTGCAGGAGGCCGACTAGGCCACGCCCACCATGGCCACGCCCACCTAGAAACCGGGCAGAGAACCTGTTGCTAAAATTTTTGAAGCTGGATCTACAGTATTGGCAATCTGTTGGCTCTGCTTAGCTTGTTTTCCAATCCTGGTGCTTTTCAAAACCATTATGACAACAGTATTCCTCAGTATTCCTAACCAGGATGGGATTTACCCATGATAAATATTTATTCAGCTTACTTGAGTTTATAAATTGTTTCCAATGGCCATAGGTGTGTCCTCCTCCCCAATCAAGATGGCCGCCCTGTGCAATTAAAAAACCTCTGTGATAGAACGTCCTAAGGACGTGGGTTCCCAAGGGGGATGGAATGGATTCCATAGGAGTAAGAGGCAACTCCGTCCTGATATTATAGGTTTCAGTCCTAATATTATATGTGAGAGAAAGAGAAATCGTTCACATATTCTAGATGCAGATAGTAGAATCCTCAGTCTGGCAAGATTTTTGTCTCTAGAACTAAGTTTGGAAGAATCACCACATATCATTCTTGGTTTTGGTTCTGACATTCTACCAGTACTTTACGTGCACTGTAAAAAAAAAGTTAGAGCTTCAACCAAGCCATGGGCTGCCATCTTGATTTATTTATTTCTTACTACTCTCTGTAGACTTCTCTGTACTAATCAAATCTGAGAGGACTTCTGGTTTGCCTTCTTCTCTTCAGTAAGAAAATGTAAAGTCCACAAAACTCCGCAAACACTTAACAGGCTGGTTGTAAGTTCTGGGAGCTACAATCCCAGCATCTTTGGAGGGCAACGGATGTGAGAAGGCCGAACTATGGATACGTTTTGAGGTCTGAATTATCTAAATATAGCTACGGTGATGCAGTGATTGTAGAAAGCTACCAGATTTGGGGACTGGATTGGAAAAGAAAAACAAACACGCAGCTCTAAACTCTGGTTTGTCCCTTTGTCTGCAAAATGAAAAACATGGGTAAGATCCACCAAAGAGTTGCTTTGTCTAATATCTCCAGAATGATGAGCCACCACTGAGTCTTAACTATTGCCTCCTCTCCCATTGAAGCAAATGGAGAGGAATGGATTTCAAAAGCTTGCTTTCCAAGTGATCTGTCATAGGATAGCACAAGATTTTCTTCTTCACCTCTCCAGTTGTCCTGGCAACCGTTTCTAAGCTATCCAGCATGAGGGATGACTGCCAGATAAGTCCCCCCACACCTGTTACGGATGAAGCAGTGGCTGATATCACCCAAGGTTTCCATTTTGAAGATAGTTGGCTTTTTTTTTTTTTTAAAAAAAAAATCATTTTGTTTGGCTAAGCTTCGAGTAATTCTTGGAATAGAATTCTGAAGGGGACTGGTGCTTAATTTTCAAGGAATATTGATCTACATGCAGCAAATGTACAGATAAGGCTTTCTCCAACTGCAAAAGGTCTTAATAGAAAAGCTTATCAAAGCTAAAACTCCAAGAGGCAGAAGTTAGAGATTTGAGTCAATGGAGATCCTCAGTCATCCAGGTAAAATTGTCTGAAGGTTGAGTCATAGCAACTGGACTTATTTTCTTATTAGTTTGAGAGCTTTTGGTGCTCGCTCAAGCAGGAGCAAGTTAGTTAGGCAGAGAGTCATTGTAATATACCAACTCTTCCTGCACCTGCCTCAGGGGTTTCTTCCCCAAAGTTGGAGGCTTGAAGATAACTTAAGTCTCTTATCCATAAATCTTCCAACTAAGTTGGCGACTTGAGGATAACATCTGTCATTCAAAAATCTCAGTTGGGGGAATCCTTGTGAGGATCAACCACTCCAAACACGGAATGGGACAACTCACCACAGCCAACTCACCATGGAACAATTCAACAATTCAATTTAATTATTTGAAGTAATTCAACAATTATTTTAATTTTTGTCCGTCACATTTCATGTTGTCCCTCCTTTTGCATTCTTTCTTTAATGATTCTATTCCACCATTTCTTTGATATCAGTCTAACTCTTGTTCCAAGGTGAGTTCTTGTTCCATGGCAAGTTGGTCATGGTGAGTTGACCGGGGCAAGTTGGCTGTGGCAGATTGGCCACAGTCAGTTGGCCACAGCAAGTTGGCCATGTCGGGTTGGCTACAGCGAGTTGTCCTAGACCCGTGATGGCGAACCTATGGCATGCGTGCCACAGGTGGCACGCAGAGCCATTTGTGCCAGCACGTGAGCCGCAGGTAAACTTACCTCACTGCACATGCGTGCACTTCACAGCTGATTTTCGGTCTGTTTGAGGCCTTTTTCGGCCTCCCAGAGGCTTGAGGACAGCTTCTGCAGCCTTTGCAGGAAATACTGGAAGTGATGAAACGGGCCAATTTTTCGGCCTGCAAAGCCTGCAGAGAAGAGCCTCTGGGAGACCAAAAAAAAGGCCTCAAACAGGCCAAAAATAAGCTGTGAGGCGCAGTGCAGGTAGGGAGGCAGTGGAGGGGGGATTGTGTGTGCATACGCAGAAGGCATGAGGGTGCGTGTGCGTTGCCTTCTGGGTGCTGGCGTGCAAGCGTGTGCATGTAAGCACGTGCACAATTTTTGGCACAGGAGCCCAAAAAGGTTAGCCACCACTGTCCTAGGCCCCTCCAAACAACCCATGGGAGACAGATTGTATTCCTTAGTCTTGTAAACCTAAGTAACTGAAGGAGGAAAAGATTGATCCTGTGTAAAGGAAATGATCTGAGTAACTTTGCCTCAGGCAACTTCTTCTCTGTCTGTCTCTGTCTCTGTCTCTCTCTGTCTCTGTCTCTCTCTCTCTCTGTGCATTTGATGGACAGGTTCAAATTGCATGACCGGTTTATCTTTCTTTTAAGTTGGAGATTTTGAAGCAATAGAGCAGGGCTCTTCAACCTTGCCAACTTTAAGACTTGTGGACGTCAACTCCCAGAATTCCTGCCAAGGTTGGAGACCCCTGCAATAGAGGACTGGCTAGTGCTTGAAATCCCAGTCAGTTGCTTGGTTGGCAGTTCCTCAGAGTTTGCACAAAGCTCTCCAAGAAGTTAAGGATAGCGTTGTGTCCATTCCTAAAACAGAACAATATCAAGACTGGGTGTCCTTTTCCAATCTAGAAGAGCTGGTCTAGATAGAATGCCACTGTATAAGTTTAAGCAAGGTTATTTTTTGAGGAATGAAAATGACATAGAGCAGGAAAAAACAGCTCATCCCTGTTAATGTTCACATTCCCTCCACAAATCTGAGGCTAAAGAAGATTATAGAGTGGGATTTATTTACATGTTTGCTTGGTTGATGTAATCTGTGGCTAAGAATATAAGATGAACTATAGCCAGCATTAGGAAAAGAAATAATTTGAGGGTCACCACTCAATCCACTGAAACGGTGAACTCAATAACGACCCCTAGTTGTCAAGCACAAATACACCTTTAATTTCTTATAAGCATATCAAAATACAGGGCACCTGAAATAACACCGATTATATAATCCAGAAATGCCACTGTATTTGTTCTCGGTTTTCTGCATTGCCCTAGCTCAACACAGTTACATAATTTGGAGATTTTTTTTTAAGGAATCCTTGCTAGGATCCTACTTCAGTATTTAAATGACTGATCAGCTTAATGTTATGAACAAGTTTGTCTCTTTTTAAGTTATAGATTGTATTGGAGATGGAAGGAGAACCCCAATACGTGATGTACTCCTATCAGCACCAAATTTGAGGAATGTATTTACAATATGAAGCAAGAAAGAAAGTCTGTTAACAAGAGAGGAAGACTATGTAGTTACTATCTCAATACCCATGCTTCGCTACGAAACTATGTGATCGGGCTTAGTTTTTGGGGAGGAAAATAAGGGGGAAAAAATTCTGCCTCTGCCTACCAGCATCTACCGGTATTCATCTGGCTAGGTCCTGTCAGTGTGTGAGAGAGTTGAGGGCTGTTTGGAAACTGAAACAGTATTTGCTGTG